GAAGGGGATGATGAGGGCAGGGGCTGGGGCCACACCTCCCTCCCCACACCCCTGCCACTGAGACCCGGCAGAGTGTCACTCATAATGCTCCTTGTGGGTAAGTTTGTTCAGCCCATTGTTCACACCCATGTCTCCTGTCCTTGAACTTCACTTTGTTTTGATTCTTCAGCAACTTTGACTCTCTGAATGAAGACGATGCCGTGGAGAACAACCAGCTGGCATTTGATGTGGCTGAGCGTGAGTTTGGTATCCCCCCGGTGACCACAGGCAAGGAGATGGCATCAGCCCAGGAGCCCGACAAGCTCAGCATGGTCATGTACCTCTCCAAGTTCTACGAGCTCTTCCGGGGCACCCCGCTGAGGCCTGTGGGTAAGGCCCTGCTTTAGGGCGAGACTTTGCTGCACCCTTGGGCCATCTCTGTCCCATGCCCATGTCTGGCTGCTCTGCTCTCTGGTGTCATCTGTTCTGGGGCTGGCCCCTGCCTTTCCTCTCACTTTGAGGCCAAATGGGAGCAGACCCCAGCCACCCAGACCTGTGTGTGTAAGTGGGTGTGTGTGGCAGGTGCCACGAAAGGTTGAAGGTCTGCTCCTGTGGCTGGGAGGTCACGGATGGAGCTACACAGCCCCTACCCAGCTCACTTGTATCTTTCGTTGTGGGTAAGGGAGTTATTTGGGGGGACCTTGTAGCAATGACCCCCTCTTCCACCGCCCCGAGTCCTGGAGTCGCGGTGGCGGGGTCTAACCTCCATCATATTTTTATTTATGAATAGATTCTTGGGGCAAAAACTATGGAGAAAATGCTGACCTCAGCTTGGCCAAATCCTTCATTTCTCACAACTATCTCAACCTCACGTTTCCGAGGAAGAGGACCCCGCGAGTAAGTGTCGACCTGCTTCTGTTTGGTGTCTCTTTGCTCATGGATGGGGCAAGGGGGAGGGCAATGTCCTGCTCTCCGTCTGTTAATGCTGATGAATTACACAGATAAGGTGCTCATGGAAGACACGAGCAAAGCTCAGTTTAGTGACTGACCGCTTTTGGAAGTCGCCCCGGCACCGTGTAGCTGGCTTCAGTGACCTGAAAGTGGTTCTAGGAAGGGCGTGGCAGAGAGCTGAGAGTTCACGCGGCTGGAGCGTTTTTTAAAGTAAATCAATATTACGCTATATGTTAACTAACTAGAATGTAAATAAAAATTTGAAAAAAAAATAATAAAGTAAATCAGATTAGCCCTGGCTGCTAAGGGGGGAAGGAGGAGACGATTTCTCCCTTGTGAAACAGTTTAGATCAGGATCACAATGGCCGTTAGTGGCAGAGGTGTGTGGGAATACTACACTGACACAGTCTGTTCGGTTAATTTCACTTCTTTCTTTCCTCCCTCCCTCCCTTCTGCAAATGTTTATTGCGCCCTACTGTTTGCCAACGTTAAGGCTGAATTGTTTTTGACAAGTAGCAAGTATACAGAGGTGAAGAAGGTATGCCTTTGAGGAGCTCAGAGCCTAAAGAGCTTCCCAAACTTTCCTGACTTACAGCACCATCGGTCCCTCAGTAATTTTTATCACAGTGCCCCTGGCTCAAAAGAAACCCCTAAAAGTTCTGTTTGCTAAGTAGGTATACGTCCAAGTAACTTGGTAGGGGTATTTTGCAAGGTGTATAACAGACCTCACCGTGTTTCCCTAGAAAATTTAAAGTATCCTATGACTCCTCCTATGACTATGGGGCCACGGGCTGCCCTGGTACACATTTTGGGAATTAGGAGCCTAATGAGAAATTGTCATTTTATTTGAATGATGGCATCGCCATGCTAGACAGGATACAAGTTATCTTGCTCAACGTGCTTATTTTACAGATCAAAAAAATTAGAGGCGCAGAGATATTAGGTGGCAAGTACTCACACAAAGCTCGCCTCCCTCCAGAGAGCGGCAGGACAGCCGAGAGTGCTGCAGGCCTTTGCGTGTGTCTCAGTCTCTTTAGGTTGCCGACAGTCTCCTACTCGTGGTCAGTCGTGCCCGGTCCTGCCAGCCCTCCACCCGGGGTGGGGCTGGGCCACGTAGCCTCCTTTCTTTCCCTCAGTTGTGTGAGCAGTGGTCAGTTTTTCCACTGAGGTCTAGGCTCCCAGGAACGTCGTAGCCTTTGAGCTAACTCCAGGAGTGGGCATGTAATGTTCTGCCACACCCTGTCTACGGGACGGAACGGGCCAGCAAGGCGAGGGCTGGGGCAGGAAGGTGTGTGGGTCGGCACACCACAGCTAAGGGGCCACGCCTCGCCCATGCACAGGCTCTGTGCGAAGGCACTGTGGCCTACCGCACGTCCCACTGAGTGCAAGCCACCTTCTGGAGCCCAGTCATAGGCTTATTTCACCCCAGCCCAGCTAGCTTTCCTCCAAAGATCCCCACTTTGGGCTTCCCCATTCCAAGCAAGCCAATGCAGCCTTTCTGGAAACAGAGGCAAATATTTAACCCCTTTATCCATTCACCGGCTTTCTCCCACCACTCAGCCCACAACTGGGAACAGCAGGGGGAACTGGAAAGGAGTGTTTATACCTATCACTCACCCCGCCTCTGTTTACAGAGTGACAGAATTGAACCAGCCTGGCCAGCTCTGGGTCACGTGGTAGGAATGGTCAGCAAGGCCAGCCAGGCCCTCCGAGGGCTGCTAGGTCCTCACCCTACTTCTCGCTGGCTTTGCTAGAAAATGCAGGGGGAGTGGGTGGGCTCTGCCTGGCCCCGCCCCGGCTAAGTTTGAACCACGTCCAGTCACCCCCAAAGTGTGCTAAATGGACTGCCCATCCTGCGAGGGGTCCGGTCCCTCCCCCTGCCCCATTTATGTCTAGGATTTGCCGCGCTGTTTGGTTAGGTAGAAAGAGTAGGTCGTTGAAGTAAGTGCTTGGCATGGGCATTATCCGTCCTCTTGCACCTCAGATTGATCGAATGCTTCCTCTGGGTGGGCTGGTGAGTTAGGCCCCTAGATCACATCCTGCCTTAGTCATCACTAAGAGGCAGTCCACCGCTCAGTGCCAGTGCAGTGATCAGACCACACACAAGGTACCCCCTCCCCATCTGACCATGTGTCTTCTTGTACCCGCACACTATTTGGTTTGGGGAACCTACCTGCAATCCTCTTTGGCCTTGGCATTTCCCACAAGCAGGGTACTCAGTACGCTCCAGCTTCCCGCAGGATGGGCACGGAGGACGTCCGCACAGGAGACTCTGAAAACGGCACACACCCAGAGGCTCCACGATGGTCACACCCACAAGGTGTCGGTGCAGTTAGACACACAGTCCTCAGCGCCCCAGCTCAGGCGCCCCTGTGGACCAGCCGTGCAGGCTAGACCTTGCCCGCATGACTACGCCACAGCACACAGCCAGGATCTGTACACATAGGAGCATCTGTATTCAACCTCACCCCCTTTCCCCATCCCTCCCTGGCCCTGCCGATGCCCTCACTAACTTCCAGAGGAGCATCTTGATATGGGGATCGAGGAGCCCATATTTGTTCACAATGTGGCATCTTAATCTGGAGAGGGTCCGGTTTTCTCTGTGGAGCCAGTCTTAAAAATTTCTCTCCCTCTCTCCTGGTTTTCACTGCTGGCGTTAAATTGTTGTCTCATCCCTAACCCTGATAGCATCCAAATCCCAACCAAGCTGATCAACTCCAGGCAAAATAAAACGCTTTTCACCTCCAAGGACCTTGTTTGCTTTTAGAGAATGTAACTTTCCCCTCAGTCCGCCAGGAGGATCGTCCCTCTGGTGAGTGGTAAATGACTGAGGTTGACCGATCACCTCCGGAGACTGAATGGCCATGCCTGGGGAAAGAAGAAGAGCTTGGGGATTATATTTTCCTCTTTAAAAGCTCTCAGTCTGCTTCTGAAGATCCGCCTCTGGTCCTGTGGCATAGGAAAATTCCCGGGGACTCCAGAGCTCCTGTCACCATGCACCACAAGTGACATCTGAACACACATACGTGGTCCCTGTCCTCCTGGGTATGTGCTCCTAGACCTACTGCTTGTGGGTAATGCCTGCATTTATGGCCACTCCATTCACTGCATACAGTATGTTACGACACACTCGGGGCGCCTGATCTTTGTTTCCCCATTCTGAGCCCACTCCTTGGAGGACAACACAACACAGAGGTGTCCCTTATTCATGACAAGCCCATCCCAGAAGCCACGTTGGCAGCCCCAGGGTATTCATCCTGCTCAGCTGGCTGACTGTGACCCAGGCGGCGGGCGTTCTCCGTCAGCACTGATCCCGGGAGAGTAGAGTTCACAGAGCATGGCTCGCGTGGGTATCTGGTCTCAGCAGTGAGGGTGCCCGCCCAGCTCTCCTCTCCTCACTACTCCCACACAGACACTTTCCAAAGAGCCAGGGGCATTAGGTAAGGAAGTCTTTCTTCCATCCATATTTACTGAGCGTCTATATTATGTGGCGTTCTCCTGTCGGCGCTGAGGGTAGAGCAGAAAACAAGACAGGCAAGGAGGCTGCCCGAGGATGCTGACCTTCCAGGGGCACCGTCTGAATTCCTCTCCCCTTCCCCAGCTGCTCTCACAGAACCTCCACCCAGCAGCCAGGTCTCCCCACTAGCTTCCTAGTACTTCTCAATTCAGAGATGTGAAGAAAGCCCAGGAGGGTCGAGAGCACCGGGTGCAGATGCTGCCCGGCCAAGCAAGCACCAGGCCTTCGAGCTGCCGCTGTGGCACCTGCGGTTTGAAGGCTGATCTCTCTCCTGTTCTCTGTGCAACACAGCTGGGGATTCTGAGCTAACCTACAGAATGGGAATACGTTTGAAGCCAGGCAGACAAAACCATATTTAGGCCTGCTGGGGATTTGGCACACGTTAGAACCTCCCTTTGCTTGTCTGCAAAATGATGGCACCAACCTCAACACGGCACTGCTCCGGTGCAAAGACAGTACGAACCGATGCAGGTGCGAGCCCCTGCTCTGCCTGCAGTGTGAGAAGGGCTCCACAAATGGTAGCTCCTGTCCCTGAGGAGTTGTGAGTAAACGGAGACGCCTGTTTTCTGAGATGAGGCAAACTAGTTGGACTGAACGCTTGGTTCTGCATCGCAGCCGTGATCGATGCCGCACCTTACAGCGTACGAAGCAGTTTCATGCGTATCTCGTTTGCTCCTTGTGTTACCTTTTGAGGAAGGTGGGGCATGTCTTCTCCTCCCAGCTTTAGAGAAGGACAATCTTGCATGTGGGGGGATTAAACTGCGATGTCCCATAGTGGTGGTGAAAGTCAAGGTCAGAACTAGAATTCAGATTTTCTAAGTCTCTTAACTAGCACGATCCTAATTAACAGTGTGCCACACTTCCATAGCCAACCTGATAAGTGTTGTGTGTACGTGACTTCATTAATCCTTACAACAACTTATGAGCTAGATAGTACATCTAGGTGAGGAAATAAGAGATGAAGAAGCTGATGTCAGAGACGTTAGGTGATTTTCCTAAGGTCACACAGCTGGGAAGTAAGTCATGACTCTGTTACTGAAGAAGAGAAGAGCTCCCTTGCCAGTGTCACTGGCCATCTTTCTAAATATCATGGCTGCCTCTCACATCCGGGCATTGCCTGCAATGGCTAGTCTCTCTTCTTGTGCCCCAGATCTAAATCTCTCCAGGGTTAGCCTACACTAGCTAGCTAAATATAAAGGCGGTTTCCTTTGAACTAACATCACGTGAAGTTGGGCTTTATGGGAACATGATTATCTTGCACTGATCAAATAATCAGTTTAGCAGGTATATGTCTGATTATTTGTTTAAATGGAGACACCAATTAGTTTAATAAATGCCCCGTAGTATATGGACTTTTTCAAATCTTTGGGAAATCATCATAAGAAATGTGTTCTTGGGGCGCCTGGGTGGCTCAGTCGGTTAAGCGTCCGACTTCAGCTCAGGTCACGATCTCGCGGTCCGTGAGTTCGAGCCCCGTGTCAGGCTCTGGGCTGATGGCTCAGAGCCTGGAGCCTGCTTCCGATTCTGTGTCTCCCTCTCTCTCTGCCCCTCCCCCATTCATGCTCTGTCTCTCTCTGTCCCAAAAATAAATAAACGTTAAAAAATTTTTTTTAAAAAGAAATGTGTTCTTGGGGGAAAGGCAAAAAAAAGCGAAAGAAAGTGAACTATTCGTGTATTCTCACGCTGTCTCTCACTGGGTACAATAAATACTTTTTTTCCCTTCTTGTACTCCATTCTTCGTAGAGCAAAATAGAGTCCAAGGAGATGGGGTAGTAATGCAACGTTGGCTTCCAGATAGAGATAAAGAGATAAGAAAAAATTAGGTAAATCCCTAAGTTTGAGTTTTTTTCTGCCTTTCTGTCTTAACCTAGCTCTTTAGTTGAGAATCAGTGCTTCCAAGATCAATTCATAAGTAAGAGTAGAGACCGTTCGGGTATGTATGTAGGTAACCTTTCCATATAGACCGAATGTTATTGTACCATAGCTCAGGCCGAATCAGAGGAGTGGAGGTTACCCCATCCACTTCCTTTATTTCCCCCAAAGGATTTGCGGTCGTCTTAGGTGGTGCTACTGGGCACATTCCGTCCTAGAAGTGCTTTTTATGAGCCTGTGGCTAACATACTGGGTTTGGATCTCTACAGGCTCTGATGTTGGAACAGTCAAACCCTAAGCTGTCAAACGAAAGTAAGATGTGTTGCTCTTTGAGAGAAAAGCCAAGTCTTTATTTAAGGTGGAAACAACACAAAACAAAACAAAAAAACGCAACAGTAAACCCTAAGATTATGCATGGAGAGTTCTTGTTGGATAGGACATCCTGTACTTTCTTGCGCTCCGGTCTCCCCCAGCAAACCATTCATAGGCACTAGAGCCGGGGGCCCAGACAGCCTGCGCCTCTAAGACCCAACATTGTTGCGAATAAGGTCATCTGTTTCTCTTGGTGTTTGCCCAAGCGTTTGGGTTGAAATCATTTCCATTCACAGAATAATGATTTATTAAAAGCTGAAGGAAATGTTGAAGGGAAGGCAGGGCCCTCAGATCTGCTCTTTTGTGCTGTCTGAACAAGGGAAGCGTCAGATTTCTGAACAAACATCAATGACTAAACAGTGGTTGATCTTATCTTTCAAAATATTAAAGGTGCTGGTGAATGTGGAAAGGGAGCAGAGGAGATGGGAGCATAAAAGCAGGGGAAGCAGGTGCTTCTGCTGGGAGCAAGTGGGTACACAGCAGTGTGTGTACTGGGGGCTCCAGGAGTTCCTGGTGCAGCACAAGCATGGGGTGAAGGGGCTGTACTCCTGGGTTTGAGGGAGAGAGTGGCCAGCAGCCCTCCCACTGCATCCCAAGTGGAAGAAAGCCTGGGATTTCAGCTGGCATGCTATCGAAAGCCTGTCTGAGGGTGGAGGCTTCCCAGGGAAGGGAACATCCATGGCCCTCGGGGGCCCGGCCATTTGGAGAAGGCCCCAGCTAGAGATTGATGGCAGGATTCCGGGTAGTCTCACCATAAGCGTCAAGGGGCAATTTTACTCTAAAAGAGAAAAGCACAAAAAATAAAAGATGGGCATTCATTGAAAAGGACATAATGAAACATGAAAAACAAATAACCAAATTCAAAAGACTTTATTGTGAAATACAAAACGTTTGGATACGTTCAGAGTATGTAGCTAGCATGGCGTAGATTCATCGCGACCTTGTGCAAATAACTGGTTTCATTTTGTGGACTGGACTTAAACACTGGTCTTCAGTCTTTGGTTCATCCTGTTACATATTTTTTTGCTTACTGATTGGTCTCCTTGTTGGACATGGCATGTTTTCTTTTTTCGCTAAACGTTCTTCCTTTAGTGAGAGAGGTATCCATTTCCAAATCCTAGGAAACCTACTCGCTTTATGTTGCTTTGCAAGCACCCTGCTATTTACTCTTGGCATATTGTCACATGTCCATTGATAGACATCCCAAAGCTCTGTGGGAAATGTGGGTTCAAAACTCTGCACGGCTGCAGAGACCATTGCCAGGGCTAAGATTTGTAGAATGTGAAAATGGGAGCACTGTGCCCATGGAGAAATGAAACCAAGCTGTCAATCAGTTGGTGAAACCAAACTGTCCCCCGGTTATTTTTGTAAATCTGTTACAGCAACATTGCTTTATATCCAATTAGTTGCATGGTAAAAATGCTCGTGGCAAAAGTGCTTGAAGCTAGGATGTCTGCTGCAAAGATGCTTATGGCTAACATGCTGGGCATGGGGAGGGAGAGCGGTGTAACCCCAGGGTCAGGATAGACTTAGCTGGCAGGGTGCAGTGAAGGCACCCAATCCAGCCCAACCCCCAGACTCAGCTCCATCGGTGCCCATTCCCTTGAGGTCAGGAGGCTGACTGTGAGTGTGGCCTTTGGTGGCCCTTGCAGGGTTACTGCAACGGGCGTGTATAGAGGGGGGTTCCCAGATTTAAATGTTCAGGTTCAGGCAGCAGAAAGGAGGCTGTCAGGGCTTATTGGTAGGGCAGCCATGTGATTTACTGTCTAACCAGGGTACTTTTGAGAGGGAAAGGGAACACTGCATAATTTGGCTGGGGAAAACGATACATCGAAACTGTCCTGGGCAAATAGGGCTGTATGGTCACCACAGTTTTCAGACCATACCTGATGCTACTTTGAAGTTGATAGAATACCATTTATTGGTATTTGCAATGGCGAATGAACGGTGGATTAATTTGCCATCAAATCCCTGGACGGCTGATCGGAGCCCTGGGAATCCCCACCTGTGAGGTGGGCAGTAACACTGCTTGTGGGAGGTGGTCTCCATGTTGGAACATGTGGACAGGCTTTAGCAGACCTGGCTGGGACTGCTCTGAGCCCAGGGTCACTCTGACAACAGAGACAGTCCCCGCCTTGCCTCCAGAACAGAGATTCTTTGTGCTTTGGGAGGTTTCAGAATGATCTTTTGCCATGTGATTCCCACCCCTGCCGACAGAGCCCCCTCTAGGTTCAGGAAGGCTCCCTCCCGTGCATCTGAAGGGAACTCTGTGATAGTGTGTGTCACAGCGCAGGGTAATTTATGTCCGTTTGTCTCCTGGGCTGGCGACTGTTCGCGGGCAACAGCTCAGGGCCAGCTCCGTGGCGTAGGGGCTGTTAGTGGAACAGCGCAGACTTTGATGGCCCTGAACTCACCATGCTTTCTTGGCCGCTGCAGGTGGACGTCCAAACTGAAGAGAGCGACATGAACAAACGGAGGCGGAGAGGCTTCAACAACCTGGATGAGGTTCGTGTGTCAGTTTAAGCAAAGGCTGGTTGCCTGACGGCCAGTGGCCATAGCGCTGGCCCTTCCTTCTTTCCTCTCTCGTGAACCACTTGGTTCCAAGCTTGGCTTGATGGAAAAACCATCGGGTTCTGGTCCTCCCTCCACTACTTACGAAGTGTGTAACCTGGAGAAACAGAGCCTCTCCGGCTGTGGTTCACGTCTGTGAAATGCAGGCGATAGATTTGAAATGTATGGAACTTTTGCAGGATTTTTAAAGATTAAATAAGAGGGTGTATATAATATGCCGAGCATGATATCTGGCACCTGTGTTAATCAATATATCATCGCTATTAACAGCAAGTAGGAACAGGGCACCAGCAGCCCCTCTGGTCTCCCAGTCATTGTTTCTACCTTTTGTTTTATGCATTTCTAGTCCTTAAGGCAGATGTCCCAGGGCCCACAAGTGCCACCTTCTGGTCAAAGTGGAAAATTACAAGCTACTTTGTCCAAACCAAGCACCAGTCTGTCTCCTGCTGAAAAATCGATCTGGCCAAAAAGAGAGTATCCGTTCCTGCTTCCCCAGGAAGCTCTTTAAAGAGACCGGAGCTACTCATACCATCTGAAAAAGCTGTCCTAACCCCACAAAAACAAGCATAGATGTTGTCAGTGAACTGTAGGATGCCGGCTTTAGCTAGCCTACCAGCGGATGTCATAATTAGGCCCCAAAGGCATGCGGGACAGTTTGTATAATACATTTATACCTGAGTTACGGGACTTAGAAAAGACTTTACCTTATGTGGATGAAGGTGCATTATTGCTGTATATTTTTAGGACACTGTTGTTCACGTCTGTGACTTGCTTCATGTGGAAGCCTCGACCGGGATCCAGACACTGGTTCTCAAAACAGTGACCTTTATAACAAATAGAGCTACAAGGCCCAACCTGGGGGGATGGGGGAATTGCCTATTGTTCATTGCATTTTCTGGAAGGGGCAAAGATGAGCTCTGTTCAAGGAAGCCTGGAGTTCAGCTCATGTCTTAAAATGTGTACAAACACATTTTATCCAAAGAGTTCACATCACCCTTTTCCAAACCGTTTCTAGAACTTCTTTGATCCCTTCAAGAGAGTTTGTTTCTCTGTCTCTTGGCTCTTGCGTGCGCAAGAAGCCAGTGAATAGGGAGGTGGTTGAGCAGAAGAAGCAGAGGCTGAAGAACAGGGTAGGAGAGACCTCCCACTTTCCCCAGTATGGGGTGTTGGCTCTCACTTACAGTGCCTGTGATCTGCCCCTCCCTCCTCCCTAGAGGCTTGCCTGGGATGCGTGTCTCACGTGGAAGTCTGCTCCTGCCTTTCATCCACGGCTCATTTGAGGGAGTGTTTGTGCTCTTTCTGTCGATGGCAACACAGGAGTCAGAGTGTGGGAAGAAATCTGGTTACTCCTGCCCCATGTGAGATGTTGCTGGACTGTGATCGGAGCCAGCCATTTTGCTAAAGTCAGATTTAACTAAGGAATAATTCTTTCCAAATACTCGCTGCTCAAAATGTAGGCCAGGAGCCAGCAGCAGCAGGATCACCTAGCAGCTGGTTAGGAATGCAGTGTCCCTTCCCCCAGACGCCCCCGGAATCTGAATCTGCATCTGAAAGAGAGCCGCCGGTGATTCGTATGCGCATTAACCTCTGAGAAGCGCCAGTCTGTGACCCAGTGTCTTGGCCCACTTTGGCCTTGTGCAAACAGTGACCACTCCAGTAAACCTACCCTCTTCTTCTCAAGCCTGTATTGATATGCACAGTTACATTCCGTACTTTGAAGTCGGAGTGACTCTGTGTTTGTCTAACACTTCAGAGTGGCTATATGCATACAAGGTTTCCCCTGGGGCTCTTAGGGACTCTTCAGAAGAAAAAAAAAATCATTAGACCTTAGCTTGCTTCTTCCCATGACTTTCTGCTAAATGAACATTTCTTAGTCGTCTTGAGAACATCTGTTCCTTTGAAGGAGGTTCATTGCCCCCTTGGGAAAGCAGACTGCCCACCAGATATGATGGTATTTACTTCTGAGGCCTATGGGAGCAGATCTTGTGGTAAGGAGACAAGACTTTCCATGAACACCAGTTATTTTCCAGGTTCTAGTGTTTAGCGGATGAGCCGAAGAAGTCTTACATGGAATACCTTTTGATAAAACAGCATAACCAAGTAATGGTCACACTGATAGCACCTACCCAGATATAAAGCAAGGAGAAGGACACTTCTGAACTTTGTGGCATCTTCTCCAAAACCCACAACCTTACTCTGATCATGAGGAGACATGCAGACCAACCCAGGTTGAGGTACCCTGTACAAAATAGCTGATCGGTCTCCTTCAAGACTGTCAAGGTCATGAAAGACAAAGAAAGATGGAGAAACTCTTACAGATGAGGGTGATTGAGGAGATGTGATAAACCACATGCCATGTGGGACCTTGACTGGTACCCTAGAACCTCACGGACATTGGTGGCAAACTAGAGTAGTCTGAATCAAGGCTCTAGCTTACCCAATAGAATTGTGCCGGGTTAATTTCTAAGTTTTGGGATTGGTAGTATGCTTACTCCAGATGCTAACATTAGAAGCATCTGGGTGAGGGTATATAGGAACTACCTGTGCTATCTTTGTAGCTTTTCTGTAAATCTAAAATTATTCTAGGGGCGCCTAGGTGGCTCAGTCAGTTATGTGTCTGACCCTTGGTTTCGGCTCTCAGGCCATGATCTCAGCGTTCATGGGATCGAGGCCCGCATTGGGTTCCGTGAGGTCAGTGCAGAGCCTGCTTGGGATTTTCTTTCTCCTCTCCACCACTCCCCTGCTCTCTCTCTCTCAAAATAAGTAAACAAACTTAAAAAAATAAAATTACTTCCAGATTAAAAGGTATTTTTTTAAAGATAGCAACAACAGAGAAGGGCTGGTTGAAGTTGGGATTGGGGTGCAGAGGAGAGAGGAGAAAGAAGCCCAAGGCCCGTGCCTTGCCTGACTGATACCGCCTCTTGCTTCCTCACCCCCACTCCCCTGACCCTTCACCTCTGATGCCACATGGTGTATTTGAAAAACTGTTCTGCTTGTCACTTCATTATTGTATTGGAGTTTTCCAACAACCAGAGGAAGTGGGTTATGCTCCCATTTTACAGATGAGGACACTTCAGAGAAGTTAAGTAAATTGCCAAGGTCACGGGGCTAGGAAGTGAATCCATTTTCAAACCCTGTCTGGCTCCCAGGTGGGTGTGCCTGTCCTTTGGGATTGTCTCAATGGGCATCACCTCCTGCTTCTGCTTCACTTCCTCAGACCATGGTGTCCTTCTTCAGGAAACTAGTCCCCCGTCTTGAGTCCCCAGGCCCCTTCCTGATATCTGGGTGCCAGGATCCAACAACCAATGTACTCAATTTGGCCTTTGCAGCCTTCAACCTTTTCCAGCCGGAGCCTGCACTCCAGTCAAGAGTGCGGCAGCAATAAAGAAGGTGGAAATCAGAACAAAGTCAAGTCCATGGCAAGTCAGCTGCTGGCCAAGTTTGAGGAGAACTCTCGGAACCCCTCGCTCGTGAAGCAGGTGAGTCCTGTCAGATGCTCGCTGGACCTGCCTTCCTGGTGACCAGAACCTGCTGAGAAGCCAGCAGAAACCAGAAGCAGAAGCCAGTTGAGGCTAGTGGTGGATTTTCAGGTAGGCCAGCCAGGCCTGGCTCGGGTGAGACTGGCGCTCCTTCTAGATCAGAAGTTGGCACATTTTTCCAAGAAGAACCAGATAGCAAGTTTAGGCTCTAGCAAATATTTTAGGCTTCGGGAACCATGCTATCTCTCTCACAACGGTTCATTTCTGTCCTTGTAGCATGATAGCAGCCAGGGGCAATACCTAAACAAATGTGCATGGCTGTGTGCAAACACACCTGAATTTACAAAAACGGGCGGCAGGCCAGATTTGGCCCGGGGCCCATAGTTTGCTGATGCCTCTTCTGCACTGGAGGAGAAATCCAGAATTTGGTTCTACCTTGTAACCATGACTTGGTCTGCAGCCATCTTTGAGATGCCAGCTGCCGAGGAGCCTAAGGCCAGAGTGAGAAGACATGTGCAAACCAGGGGAAACTGAGTCACGGGTCTAAGCTCCGGGGGACCAGCCCTCCCCAAGGGTTCTCTGGCATCCCCTCTCCCGTGTTCACTGAGGTCAGGCTAGCAGGGCCATTGTGTCTGAGCAGGGGTGGCTGTGAGGCCGAAAGAGGCAGAATGCCGTGGGCCAGGCTGCACACTGCGCTGACTGCTCTCCAGACTCTGACTCCAGGGTCTGAGCTTCATGAGGTTCATTTTGCTCCCCTGAACTCCTTTGGGATGCAGCCGTCAAATTACAGGAGCTTGGGATGAGGGGATTGGTTCTCTTTTAGAGAACACCTGGTTGATTGGGTTTACAGGCAATCATAAATGTCTGTCGGGCCTTGATGGTGGACCGCGTCCCCTCCGGGACAAACCGACCTTCCCCAGGGAGGGAGCCAAGTTTTGTTGCTATAAGGGGGCCGTTTTCCCGAGACTTACAATTCTCTGAATTTTTTTTTCTTTCTCTCAATTGCCCCTTCTGGAGGCTTGGCCCCTAGAAGTCCCCAAGTGTCATTGAGGGTTCTCTTCCATCAGAAGGAATGTAGCATCTAGTGTTCCGGGAGCTTTGCCAGTTCCAGGAGGACTCGAGGGCTGGCCACCCTGGCTTGGCATGGCCTGGCGGCACAGGCCCAGTGCCCCGGGTCTAAGCCAAGAGCAAGGCCTCCCTGGGATTTACACGTTGTCCAAGAGAAGGGGACTCCAGGACTTGTTGTTCACATGGACAGAGAGCCAGGGTTCAGGTTTCCCAGCAAGGCCCAGCTTGCAGGGTTGCTGTCTCTGCCCACCTCTCTTCTCCTCCCTCCAAGTTCTCAGTCTGACTCACCTTTTCCTTCATGTTTCCCGTGGCTGCTTTTTTGGACTTCCCTTCCTCCTCCCAGGAATGCCGCATCTCAGGGATAGGTAAGCCTGTCCCGCGCTCTTCCTCTGACCCACCTGTTAACTCTCGCTGCCCCCCGCCGGAGGAGCCCACACCCGGCCCATCACCTCCTCTGAAAAGGCAGGTAGGGCTCCTTCCAGTGGACGCTGTCGTGCCGAAGTCAGAGGGGACTTTCACCCCGAGGGGCGGGGTCAGTGGCTGGCTGTGCAGCCCACGTAGGGCTGACTGTAGAATCTCTGGGAAGGCAGACACAACTTGGGGTGACCGCCCTTATAGGTAAGACTAACCAGGCATGCAGCATCTGGAAATACCTGCCAGTCAGGAGTAACATCTGCCCAACGACTACGCCCTCGATGCTGCCTCTGCTCGGGCGAGAACCGGCTGTACTGCGTGGGGGATTTTGTGCGAAGCTCCGGGATACGTAGCTTTATTTGCAGACCACTTGAATAGGCAGATTTCGAAACGGATGGATAAGCGGCAGTGGTGTTGGGCCGAGCTCAGGTGACCGGTTGGCTGCGCACCATTGGAGGGGTGAGGCTGGGATGTGGCGAAGGCCTCCCCCGGTGCCCGAGCAGACCAGGACCGGCCGGGGCCGGGGAGGCGACTGGCAGCCGTGGGCTGAGGCTTTTTCCAGCTAGCATCTCTGGGTTTGGAATTGGAACAGAAACACTGTTGTGACCACAGTACTCAGAAGCGGCTCGTCAGCACCAGGAGTTTTGTGTCGCTCCAGGTGGTGGAGGCCGAGCGAGGCCCGTGTGGGTGTATTCCAGCGGCTTTCTGTCTGTGAGCGTCACAATCACCTAGAGAGCTTTCTTTTTCGTAATTTAGTGTTTACCAATTTTTGAGAGAGAGCGAGCAGGGGAGGATCAGACAGAGAGGGAGACACAGAATCCGAAGCAGGCTCCAGGCTCCGAGCTGTCGGCACAGAGCCCGACGCGGGGCTCGAACTTAAGGACCGTGAGATCATGACCTGAGCCGAAGTCGGACGCTCAACCGACTGAGCCACCCAGGCGCCCCTAGAGAGTTTTTCAGAAATATCCGGAACCCACCCCAGACCAATTAAACCAGACCCCCGGGGGGTGGGGCCAAACTTGGGTTACTTTTTCTAAGTGCCCGAGGTGACCTCAGGGTGCAGCTGGGACTGAGACCAGCCTCGTACAGGTCTTGATCCGGTGAGTTTGGGGGGAGGCCCGAGACTGTGTATCGTTACTGAGGATGTCGGACGGTGGAGAGTCGGGACCCCGGGTTAGCAGGGAATCTGACTGACGGCGGCACCTGCCGTGCCCTCTGCCCCTGGTCAGCTTGGGGATGGCTTATGGTGGGGTGGGTGTGAATGGGCCACAGTCGGGAAGGAAGCTTGATTTTCCTTCTCTCCCAGTTCCCCTCGGTGGTTGTGACGGGGCACGTGCTCCGAGAGCTAAAGCAAGTGTCTGCTGATTGCGAGTGCCCGAGCAGACCCTGGAGAGCCAGAGCCAAGTCTGACCTGCAGCTGGGTGGGCCAGGAAGCTCTCCTGCTCTGCCCCCTGCCTGCCAGGGAGCGCTGGCCCTTTCCGGGGTGCTGCGGCGGCTGCAGCAAGTGGAGGACAGGATTCTCCAGGTGAAAGCCTTGCTCCGTGCCCCTCCTCTGCCTGTGTTTGGGGGTGCCTTCCTTCCCTCCCCTCCTCCCTCTGCCCACAGTGGGTTCCTCCTCTTCCTCTTCACTCCCTGTCCCCTCCGTCCCGCCGAGACAAGCCTGCCCCTTCCCCCCAGACCCCCAACCTCTCTCCTGACCCTCACGGTCTCTGTCACTGTCTCTTTTTCTTTCCTCTTTCTCACCTGGCCTGCAGAAGAGGGCTCAGAACTTGGCCAACAGGGAATTTCACAAAAAGAACATTAAGGAGAAGGCGGCTCACCTCGCCTCCATGTTTGGACATGGGGATTTCCCACAGGTAAACAAGGGGCTTTCAGAGCCCCCTCCCCCGCCCAGGGGTCCACATGTTGGGCATCTAGCAAAGTGACCACATGTTGGACATCCAGCAAAGTGACCACGACTCAGTCTGTGCAGCTTCAGACCCTCCCCCTCCTCCTTCCATGGCATGAGGAGCTGTTGACTTTGCAAGAACTTGGACCGGCGTCTAAAAAAGACCCACATGAGAAGATGCAAAAATATGTAGATAAATCATGACAAAGGGAAAAGCGAGGTAGTAAAGTGGGCTCAGGTCAAAGGAAGCAGAACCGAATACTTTTAGATCCTAGAGGGGTCCGAGTGGGCTCTGAGCGTCCTGAGAGTCAACACGGAGAAGGAGAGCTGGACTGTCAGGAATCACATCACAGTGACTTGACCGTGAAGGACAAGTTGCTCATGACGTTGGGAGGCATGATGGGGGAATCTCCCCGTGGCCCCGACCGGGGAGATCCTGAGTGATGGGGCCAAGCGCAGGCTGTAACCTGTGCTCTGCTTTCCCAAAAGGCGGCATCAGCCAAGAAGAATGGCTTTGCCTGAGAATGGGAAATGCAGCCCCCTTGCAGGCCAGGTATTCCTTTCGAAACTCACTGAAGAGAAGAGCGAGGGCTGGCGAGGAGCGGGAAGAGCTGATAGGTCCCCACAGTGGATGTGTGCGAAAGGCGCCCCCCCCCCGCCCCCCACTCTCAGGCAGCCTGGTCCCTAGGACATAACCCCTCTGCAGCTTTCGCTCCATTTCCTCCAGACCTATGTCCTCTGCTTCTTGGCAGAGTCACCGACAGCGGAGGGATGCTTTGCATCTAGTTCATTTCTGGGGCCCAGGGGCCATCCTCCACAGTAGCCCAGGGTTCTCCTTCCCTAAGTTTGCAGCTGCTTCGTGACCCCAAACTCCAGAGTGAGAGCGTCAGGTGTTAGCGCTGGTATCTGCGGCAGACGGACGCAGGACTAGGACGGAGCAGCTGCAGCTCTTTTGGTGTGATGAGGGAGCCGGAATAGTTGTAGCAGAATGCCGTGTACCCGGGAGCCAGGCGGTCCTGCTGGGCTCCAAAGACCGAGGCTTCTTTTTTGTCCTGAGACCCAGGCCTGGATTTCTTTTCCCATCCTTGAATGCGTAGGCATGGGGCTGCACTGTGGAGGCGAGCATCACGGTGCACACCCCAGGGATAATCACAGCTTCCTCTGTTTCTGTTCTGTGCAGAATAAACTACTTTCTAAAGATCTGTCTCCCGAGCACACTCCAGCTTCTCCCTCCTGCCTTCCATCTCCTGATCCTGCTGCTACTTCCTCTCCATCGACTGTTGACTCTGTTTCTCCTGCCAGAAAGGTAGTCGTCCCGTACCATTAGCTTCCCCCACCCTCTGCATGCTCTGAGATCTTCTCCTCTGCCCACCCTGTGCAGACAAATGCCAGGAGCTTGCTTTGGAGGCGATGAGGGTTTGTAAGATGCTTTACAGCAGTCCCGGATTCGCTTGTTTTTGTGTCGAAGCAAGCCCCAAAGCAGAACAGGCAGCACACAAAAACTGGCCGAACAGTGCTGTGCATCTTGGCACCCACCATATGCCACCGCGTGCCGGATGCCGAAACGGGGAGGGCGGCACGGTCCTTTTACTCCAGTTTTGATGATGAACAGCACAGCAGCATAGAAATGAGTAACATTTTACATAGGAGAAGGCCAGTATTTGGTTGTTTTTGACCTAGCAAAATGGCAGCTTCACATGGCGAACCTACTACTTGTCAACACTATCCCTTAATTCCGAGGCACAGAAAGGGCAAGTTTATAGGAACCCAGGGAGGGGGAGAAGTCTGGAAAGGATTCACAGAGTAGGCAATATGGGAAACAAGTGTCGAAGGTTACACAGAAAGGGAAGGGCATTTCAGAAAGGTCTAGCATGTGCAGAGGAAGGCAGGCAGGGCTTGCGTGAATGGAAAGAGAATTCTGGTGTAACTTGCTTTGGGAATAAAAGTATTTATGGGAGTGTGGAGGATGAGGGTGAGAGTCAGTCTACTCTTGGTATTAAGGGGTTTCATTCCGTCCTCTCATAGCCACAGAAGCCACTGCTCTGTGTTCTAGAAGGCTGACTCAGATAGCAGTGCAGAGGTCGGCTTGGAGCGGGGTTAGGGAGCGAACTTTAGGTAGATAATGAAATGCACCCTTGAACAATTTTTAGATTGTGGTTGTGGAGGAATTTCTGGTTTCCCTCTTGTCCTCCTGTCACTGAGTATGCTGAGAACACTGCCAGGTGGGGGTGGGAGAGGGCTGGTCTCTGGGAAGCTTGGCCCCTAGAGTAGATGAGCCTGAAAATGGATGTGAAGCCCACTTTGTCTAGCAGTTGCTCATCAAGGAGGCTTGGTCCCTTCCTTGCAAACTGTGCTCCTCTGAACACATCTGGTCCATCTAGCTCCCCAGGCTCGTCTGGGCATGCAAGGCTGAATGTCCCCCATCATAGTTACTGCTCTTTTGCTCCCATGCTTTAGGCTAAAGCTCAAACACCTGATGTTACCTGAGTGTACAAGAGGAGCTGTCTCTTGGTTTGTAGTTGGGAGTCCCACCCCCAGTGACTTCCCACTGCTGTGGGGAGAAGAGTACAGGGAACGTCACTAAGAAAGGAGCAAGGAATATTGTCAGCCCCCCACTCCTCCACAGTCCCAGTCGTGGGTGTGAATGACCCCCTGGAAGGGCAGCAAGAGGTGACATGGAGAAACACAAACACCTCCAGCTCCACGGAAGATAGCCATAGCCAAGACGCCTAGCGTCTTGCTCCAGGTCAGCCATTGGTTGGCTGTTTGACCTTAAGTCTCCTGACCTATCTGGGCTTCCGTATTTTCTCATCAACAAGAGAGTGGTTCCTGGCTCATGTGATAGTGAGCTCTCTGGGTGGAGACTGGCAGTTTTGTCATCACCATCACCAAGGCTGCGGAGCAGCCATTTTGCCCGGCTCAGGAGAGGAGCCTCCCCTGGTGGGGATGGTACTTGCTGCTGTGGCAGCCATGACAGGACGAGAAGGGGCGAGGTTGCCTGGGCACAAGCAGGCAGTGGCTGGTGCTCCTGGCTGGGCAGCCAGGCCCACACCGTGCTTCTCGCCTGCTCAGCCCCTCTTCAGTTAGCCCTGGTCAAGGTCCCTTCTTGTCTCTGCTTTTCTTTCATGCTCAAGGTGGCCTGGCCTGAGGGCAGAGCTGGGACAAGAAAAGCCACCACCCTTCCCAAGTTCCCTGACTTGATTTCTAGTAGGTGTTTGATCTCTAAGTGCTGGCGAGGCCACCAGGGTCTGACAGAGGCACTTCTGTCACGTCTGTCAACATCAATAGGCACGTTCCCTGTCACATTTTCATCATGCTCCACTGGAGCCCTCGGCTGCTTCTCCATTGGGCTCTTCAAGGAGCTTTAAACCAATGTCACCCATGAAGCAAGGCAGTTAGTGAACATTCAGCCATTCAACAAACATCTATTAAACAACAGACAGCTCAGTGTTAGGCACTTCAGGCTCTTGGGATAGGTATCAATGCAGTTACATTCCTTCCCCGGTGAGGCTTATACCCTTGTAGGTGGAAATAAATGGTCAATGATAATATAATATGTGCATAAACTGTACAGTACATCAGAAGACAAGACAGTACATCCTATGGAAAAATTATAGCAGGTAGCAGGGACCTGGCAGGCTGGGGACGGGTAGGAATTTAAAATGGAGTGGTAGGAGGGCTCTTCCTGGGAAAGAGAACTGAGCGAGAGTAGAGCCACAGATAGGAAAACAAAGGTGCAGAGAGGCGACTGGTACCCAGCCCTCCTGACCCCAGCCCAGTGTGAATGGAGTCCTTGTCAGAGGCACCAGCCCGGAGGCTGTGACCGCATAGAGCTCAACATGGAGCATGGAGAACTGCAAGTAGAGTGGGCTTTGGGATGGCCAATCTCAGGCCCTCTGCTCCCCCTACAGCTCTGTTCCTTGTTTCTACCAGGTTGTGGTAGAAGAGTCACCCCTATTTCTTATTCTTATTCCATTTCTCTAGCCAGCCTTGACCATCAGGCGGTAGTATAATTGAGCTTATTAATTACAGGCTGATGTGCCTGTCATAGAGTGGCTGGCAGTGAGTGGAGAGCTCTTAGAAAGGGCCACCCTGGGACATTGGGCAAGCCACTCACCTTCTTTGTGCCTTGGTTTCTCCATTTGTAAAAAGGACCCAATTTGGACTCAACATTCACAATACCCTTCAGATTTCACTGTGAAGCCCTTGTAGGCAGTTAGGAATGAGTGGTAAATTCCAAGTTTCAAGCATTCTTGGAGAGGATACGGCCAGTGTGGCCCTGCACTCCCCGCCCCCACACACCACCAATATCTCTCCCTCTCCTGGGCCCCACCCTACCACTGATTCAACACTGGACTTTGTGCATGTACAGAATCTGGCAGGGTGATGGCCTCCTCTGAAGAGAGGGTTGGCTGCCCCTTAAAGTAAGTGGCAGCCTGGTGACAAACCACTTCATTCAGTCCTGAAGGAGCTCCGGGAGCCTCTCCCCTGGAGAGAGCCTGAGGCCTCAGTGCTTCCTTCCAGCAGATTATGGGCTGTTCTCACTGCCCAGGGCCGCAAGCTGGCCTCCATTCAGGGAAGCCAGAGGAAGGAAAATGCACTTAGAGACTGCTGTTTGGTCCCTGGCAAACTTCAGGCAGGCACCGTGTCTCTATTCCTGCCCTAGAGCCCTACACTCCAATTCTGAGGATCCAGGGATAGCCACCTCCACCTGGGAGCAGACCTAGCCAAACTCGTATGAGGACCACGTGTTCCTCACAGGGATACAAACTTGTATCACCAGTCCCGAGAGATGTGGCCAGGGCTCTGCCTTCAGATTCCACTTGCCTGCCTTCTCAGGTGGATATTTTGCTCCAAGATTCAGTGATGCCACTGGGAGTTTGGCCTGAATGGTGTCACATGGCTTCCTTAGGTCCTCTCATTTAGGATCTAGATCCTTACCAGAGTCTTGTCTTCCAAGGACTGGACTAGGGATCATGTCCACTCATATGTTCCCAGCACCATTCGACTCATCCATCCCATCAGACCGGCCCTCCTGTGGTGGTACTGGCCCCCAATCAACCATTAGTTAACCTCTCTTTTCAAGCAGGGGGGCATGACTGCCAGTCCTTTGCCAAGGCTGGTGAGCTCTTGTGAGAACAAGATGGCGGCTGAGTGTTTGTGCAGCGGGGCAAGAGGGGACTGTGGGTCAGTCTTCCTGGGTCAGAAGAGCAATGCGCGTCACAAAAGGAGCTTTCTCTACATGGGGCTATTTGTTCTAAAACTCGATTTGCAGGGTTTGCTGCAGAGATTTGTACATTGGAGCAGCTCGGTGAGTCTTGGCTGGTTGCTATGTCTTTGTTTCATTTGAGACAAGCCTAGATCTCAAGGCCTCCCTCAACCTCATCGTCTTTCTCTTTTTTCCTGGGATAAGAGTGCCTTTGGAAGTGTACTATGTGTATCCCAACATGGGGAATTTTAGTTAGCAGAGTGCTGGTGTGTCTCAGGGAGGCAGGGCGCTGCAGGGAGAAGAATATGAGCTTAGGGTCGCACTTGGGTTCAGAACACCAAGTACTCACTGTGTGACCTTGGATGAGTTGGTGGGCCTCTCAGAGCCTCAGTTTCCCAACCTATAGAATGGAGGTGACAACAGCTAGCCCTGAGGGTGACAGGAATAATGCCATAAACTGACCAACGTAACATGCCTGAAGGATCCAGTAAACATACTCTTTCCCCAGTGGAGGAGAATTCCGGAAGAATGCTCATTTACCTGAAATGCATGTTGATTCCTCTCTTTCTAAAGGCAAAGAAGTCACCTTCAGGTTTCCATTTCCATCCCAGCCACTTAAGAACAGTGCGGCCTCAGGTGAGTTAGAGCCTCCCTGAATCTCAGCTCTCCCATCTGCGAAGGGGGATTATGAGACCCCCCTCGCAAGGCCGTGAGCATTGCACACGGATGGGCACAGCACGGTGCCTGGCACCAGTGGACACAGGTGCAGATGTGGGTGCCCACTGGGAGGTCACAGTCACAAAGGCCTGCCTGAGTCTCAACTCCGAGGGTGTAATTTCTGGACCTCCTCAAAACAAGGTGGTTTCGATCCTTGCCCTCTCTCCCCCATGCCCTGAGCGTATCCCTGGGCATGCAGGCCCACCGCCTGTCCTATGACGTTCCTCACGCAGGGACTCCTCAGAGAGGAGTGTCAGCCCAAATATGCCCAGGAGACCTTCTCTGGCCCTGCCTGTCATAACTTCCTCTTCCAGTGAGCCCTCAGCTTGGAGGCCCTGGAAACACCTCCTCACCATGCCTGAGCCGTGTGGGCCTCATGATGTTCACAGCAGGCCAGGTGGTCATGGGGACCCAGCTCTGTGGAGAAGCCCAGCCCAGACACCTGGTATTCTTGGCTGAGTTCCAGGCCCGAGGTGGTGGGGGGGCGGAGGGGGACGTTAGCATTGTTTGGCCTCAGATGGGCACAGGAACCTGTTTCCTCCTTCCTTCAGAGCACATGCCCTGTGCCCAGAGTGTAGACATGAGTAAAACACAGTGATGACATTAGCGAGTGCAAACCAGAAGGGAGTGGAGAGCAGGGTGAGAAAGTCTTGTCCTGTTCTGAGCTCAGGCTGCCAGGGTTGCCTCCTTTGGGGGGGGGGGGGGGGGGGCGGGTGTCCAGCCATCTGCTGCAGCCTCTGGGATCGGTGCTGGTGACAACAGTCCTGTCACCATGTTTGACTCATCGAAGAGAAGCCGGTGCACTCACCCTGGCTCGGCTGTATTGATCTTACTCATACAGAGGAGGGAACCCAAGCAACCTAGAGGATTTCAGAGTGAAGGCCATCTAAGAAAGGAGAGAAGTTCCAGAACATGGAAGTGTAAAGCCACCCCAACGGCAGTGCTTTGAACTATCTGCCAAGTGCTTCTTGGGAGCCCAGTGCCATGTGAGGTGTGGCCCAGGTTCTATGGGGACCCTTTTTTGCAGTCCTGCAAGGATGGAGATGGTCTCTCCATTTTATAGATGGGGCAGCTGAGGCTCACAGAAGGGAAATGGTGTATGTGAGATTATTCTAATGGAATGTGAGATGTAGGCCTGCTGGAAGTGTCCAGCCATTCCAGCTTGTTCTAGTCAATTAACCAAAAAATAATTAGAATTCAAAAGAGGAAAGAGGGTAGTAAGAAATACTCCGATTCTTCAAAATTACAAGAATATTGAAAGATACATAAAGGTTTGCAAAAGCAGCCCCACAGCCCTCCGAAATGACCAGTTCTTTAAAAACTAGTGACTGGGATGGGATCATTTTTGGCTAAATCTTTTTATTTGGCCAAACTCTCCTGAGTTGTCAGCTGTCCTCATGACTAGTCCTCCGGAGGTCTTTCAGTGGGTGAATCTCCTTGTTGAGAACCCCTGGATCTCGCTCTGAGGTCAATACCAGGATGAGTTTTCTGGGAGTTTCTCTACAAATTGATCTCTCTATTTCTCAGCATCCCAAGAGCCTAGTAATTCCTTGGTTGGCTGGGGCAGTGCTACTCCAAGTGTGGTCCCTGGGCAGGCACTGGTCTGTGACCCAGTGAGCACGGCAAGTGAAAGTGAGCATTAGACACCTGTAGAGCAGTGTGGCATTGCCATACAACCAAGTGCACAATCATATCTCTAGCAATTCCCTTGTGTTGTGTCCAGAAATACCAGGTCACAATAGATTAGAGATTTTTTTTTTTTTTAAAGTAAAACCTGGTCATTTACCACTGATTGTTTGAGGAGCAGTGAGCTAGCACATGTCTGTCTGGTCATGTCCTCAATCTTCTAGAGCCAATGAGGTATCCTGTTAACAAGAAACATAGAGAAGAGAACCCATAATCCCCAAGGCAATGTTTGCCTCCACACTGGTCATCAAGGGTAGGCTTCTGGGCCCACCCCCCCCCCTCACCTCTTGAGATTAGTTCTCCATCTCCTAGTCTCCTTGTGACCTCTCCAGAAAGTCCAGTCCACTTCTTGGTATTGGCCAGTGGTGACCCTGGGATGGTTTCTATCAGGTTGGGAGGGGCACATGCAGACCCAATGCCGCTTTCTTAAGGGTGCTTTCCTTATTCTTGGCAAAGCCTCTGAAATGGGGTGGGGTCTGTGATTGCAACTGGGAGAAAGGAGCCTTTATGGCCCATACTGAAAGACCAGTTTTGTCTTTATCCTGGATTACCTGGCCAGGTGACCCTGGATGGTGCCCTATCCTGGTAGAAGAACCACGCAGGCCCATGACGACACAGATGTGTTTGGCGACACCCACCAGCAACCTTACAGCCCTCGGCAGGCTTCTGTAATTGCTCCTTAAGTCAGGATTGCACAAAAGCTCAGCAGTACAAAGTGCCTATTAGCTAAGTGGTTAATAAGGTCCCATTAGGGGCTTGTATTTAAAGCCTCGGAAAGTACAGTCTCAGTCTCTGCTAACTCAGGGAGGCAATAATTGCGCGTGGGTATCATGGCATCGCCGTGGAGTCTTTCTGGGAGAGTGCCTCAGAGCCAGTTCACACGCTGGGCCATTGGAGGCAGCCCCACAAGGGCAGTGTGGGCAGGCGGGTAAATCTCACCTCCGCTGTCTTCCCTCCCCTCTTTGTCTTGATATAACCCCAAGAAGTAGTTGGTATTCTACAGCCTCTGTCTGAGGGACCCGTGTTGGGGGTTCCCGGTGGGGGGGTGCAACAACAGACGAACAAAGGCTTGTTGTCCTGCGCCTGCGCACCTGAACCCTTCTCGGAAACGGGAGCCAAGTTCCTTGGCATTGGCAAAATCCTGCAAATGGCAGAAAGTGTGCCTGGAAGCAGAATCCTAACCTCTCCCAGGCTGGGCCAGCTTGGAGGGTGAAATGGGTATGGGGTAAGTGGCCTGGCAGCTGCTGCTACTGGGAAGGAGCAGGCTTTGTAAAGCCTGGAGGGGCCCCGTCTGTCTGAGGCATGAGGTCAGACACCCTACCTCACAGGCCCACGGCCGTATTCCCTACAACCCCAAGACCCACATGTGGTCGGCGCAACTGTTCCAGAGCGGCTGTCAGTGTTAGGGCTTCCTTGATGAGAAAGGGAGCAGGAGCCTCGGGGAGAGAGCCTCACTCTCCCCCACCTGCTTGGCATCCTTCCCTCTTCTTCCTCGTATAGTGGCTGTGCTCTTGCGGGAATCCCATGAGTTGGCCAAGGCTCTGAGTATGGGCCCTGCTATCAGGAGGTGGAGAATTGCTGCCATTTGCCCATTGGCTTTGCCGTTCCCGGAACTTCCTGCCTTATATCTGAGCCTCTTATAGCAGTTTAGATGTGGCCTTCCAGGAGCAGTCCTGGGTTTAGATTGAGGGCATTCCTTCAACCTCACACATCACAGTTGCTCGTTGTTGCAACGGCCGTCTGCCTGTGCCACTCCCAGAAGCTGGATACAGAGGCCGCAGTGGGTCTGGAGCCTGCTTCCTTCTGGAATCCTGGGATGCGAAACAGTGTTTCCAGAATCCCTTACTGTGGTGTGTGCCTCTCTGAAGAGGAGACTACAGTGTTCCCAGGGTGGCCTTTTGTAGCTGGTGGGAAAGGGGGAGCAGGTTGGGATTTACCGGAGGGTGTCTGTGTGATTATGCCCTATCTGCTTGGGCTCCAGCAGCTGCCCCAGCTCCAAGGCACGTTGATGGGGACCCAGACAGGTGGGCATGGCCATCATGCCTTCCAAAGCACAGGTACCCGAGACCAGGCTGTGATGCCCAGGGCCCACATGGAGCTATCTTGCCAATACCAGCCTGGGGCCTCTGGGCACCGCCGTCTGTAGCCCACAGTCGGGTACGCTCTTGTTGCCTCCTCACTCCTGTTTCAGTCACCGCTCTGTAGGCCCAGGGCGACTCAGGTCAGACACCACCCTTGCTCCCTAGGGGTGTGGAGGCTGCAAGGCAGGCTGGGACCTGCTGAACTCAGGAAGCAGGGAGGGAGGAGTCTAGCTCATCTAGCTCATCCTGGCTCCGCCCTCAAAGCACCAGGCGCTTGGATATACATTCTCTCCCTCAGTTCTTACCCCACATCCGTGAGACAGACACGATTTTCCCCGTTTTACTGAACAAAAGAAACTGAGCTCAGAAGTTGAGAGTTTTGTGCTCAGTCTCAGAACTGGTTCATGGTGGAGTTGGGGACTTAACCCTTCCCCCCCAGTGTGGTCTGGGGCAGGGAAAGCCCACTGCTCATGAAGCAGCAGCTCACAGCCCTCCAAAGAGGGGCGGTCTCTGGGAAAGGGTGGCTGCCATCCAGCTGTCTGTCCGTGAGGTCGTGGTTCCTTAGTGCGTGAGGGCACCGGGCTGGCGGTCAGAAGACCTGGGAAGTATTCCGAATCTTGCATGTATGTGCTCCGTGGCCTCGGATAGATCTCTCCCTGTCTCCGGGATTCATTTACCCCATCTGTGAACCAAGGAACTTAATGAATCCTGGAGGCCTTGCACCTCCCCATGGTGGTAGTTTTCCAGGTCACCTGGCTCACCCGGGCCACGGGGTTCCATTTCTGTGCTTCTCTCCACCTCCAGAGTGCCCGCTGCCCGCTCCAGGCTGGTTTTGCCTCTCCCGGGATGTTGGGTGCTATTTGCATGTGGGTGTGGAGCCCTCTCCCACATCCAGCCTGTTCGTGCTTTCCTGCTCGGTGCTAACTGGCCTCTACCTTTGTCTCTGTCTCCTCTGCCTCTGCTCTTGGGTAGCTGACGGTAGGGAAAGTGTCCAGTGGAATAGGGGCCGCGGCTGAAGTCCTGATCAATTTGTACATGAATGATCACAGACCTAAGACCCAGGCCACCTCTCCAGACCTGGTAAGGATGCGCACCCCTCAGCCTTCACCCACAGACACCAGCTCTGACCTCCCAGAGACGATGGCCTGGCCCACCCAAGGCCCTCTTTTCGTGGACAGGAGGCCTGAGAAGGGGCTGGACCAGAGCCGGGGTTTGAGGGGGCTGCATTTTCTGACAGACGAACCTCACTTGGCTCCCCAAGGGGTCATTTCACAAGGCAGGGTCTCTCTCCTGCTGTCCAGGGCTCTGGAGAGCTCTGTGAAAAGGCCGGGCAGGCCAGCCGTGTAGCCAGGCACCCCTTACCATCAGTGTTGGGCATCCAGTCCGAGTAGCCCTTTTGCACTGGACTGAGAATCCAGTAATGGAGAAACCCTCCTCCCTTCGAATTCTCCCTTCTCCAAACAAGGCTGCCTGCTGCCAATGGCAGCCATTGGACCGTGCAGTTCTGGTTTCCTTTGAGCGCGTCCCCCCTGGAATCCAGAACCCCCCAGGAGCACCGCTGCCTGGCCCTCCTCCTCCTCCTGCCCCCTTGCATTTAGGGATTTGACTGGCAGTCTGGGGGCTAGAGGACACAGCCTCTCCCTTCCCTGCAGTTCTCTGGAACAGTTCTGATGCCACAGGCTTTCCTCACCTGACCTGAGTCACTGCAGGAGGACAAATGTGGAAAACATTCTTTCAGGGACCTCTCTCTAGACCCGGGCAGCCCTTAACCCCCAGGACAGATTCCTGGAGACCGCATCGCCTGGCAGGCATGTTTGTGAGGGCTGCCCGCTCCTGCCCCCAAACCAGAGCAGCCGGCCTTGGGAAGAGACCCTCCCGGGCCTCCCTTGCTGCCGGCTGGCCAGCATGGGAGCAAAATGGACCGCAGTCCCTGGAGGGTTGGGGTCTTTGTTGGGAGCATTTCCTCCCCCACCTCACCCTTTGCTGCAGAGACATGAGCAGCAGACAGGAGCCCGCGAGGTCCCCGCGATTGAGGTCAGCATTTCCAAGAGCGTCAGCCTCACATTGCAAGACACGGTGTCCGTCCTAACACACAGTGCTTCTCTCCCGCTGCCCTGTGCTCCTAGGAGTCTATGCGGAAGGTGTTTCCCCTGAACCTGGGCGGCAGCGACACCTGCCACTTCTGTAAGAAGCGCGTGTATGTGATGGAGAGGCTGAGCGCAGAGGGCCACTTCTTCCACCGCGAGTGTTTCCGCTGCAGTGTCTGTGCCTCCACCTTGCGCCTGGCCGCCTACACCTTCGACAGCGACGAAGGTAACCCCCGGGGGCCCGGGACGGCACTGCTCTGCGGCCTGGGCTTCTGTGCTCTGGAGGCTCCGGGACGCCCAGCACTTGCCAAGGAATGCGGCGTCCTCAGGAGAGCTGGTCAGAGAGCCGGGGGATCCTGCTAGAGAGACAGGTCCCCTGTGGGCGGCCTGGGGACACCCGGGAGCCATCCTGCACCATGCGGCACCTGCTGGGTGCCAAGTGCTTTACATATGCGTTCTCAGCCAGTCTCACCACCTTCCATCCCCCTTCCCCCCCCCCCCCCCCCCCCCCCCGACCCCGTGTGGTTGGGGAATCAAACCTGGAAACCTAGTCACGTGCTCGGCACTGCACCTGGCTTGTGGCAAGGGTCCAACAAATGATGGCATATCATTGCTGTGATTTATAAAGTGTGTATTATGGAAGTAATCATAATAGCAACCTCCCCTCTGAGAAACAGCCTGCCAGAATGTACCATTTACTAGCCGTATAACCCTGGATTTAGGAATCTGGTTACCTCTGGGTCCCTCAGACACTTCATCTGTAAAATGAGGGTAATAATAGTTCTTAGGTCAAAAGTTTGTTGCAAGGTGGTTCACACGAGTTCATTCATGGGAAGCATTCAGAATAGTGTCTGGTATATTGTGAGTCCTGGAGAAGTTTTCCTTGTTGTTACCATCATTAACTGTCCCTATTATTACTCTTGTAATGAGTGGTGAACGAAGCAGGCTTTTCTGGCAAGTGCCCAATGGTCCTGGGCTGTGGCCAGGGACCCAGTGTGTGTCTCACCTGGGTCTTTTCCTTCCCATCACTGCTGCCATCTGCTCCAAGCCTTTCCCACTCCCAGGGGGCCCCAGGAAGGACCAGGAACTGGAAACAGTACTGATACTCAAAGCTGTCCGTTTTGCAGTCTTGCAACCAGCCTTGGGAAGGGACTTGGCCTCAGTTTGGTTTGGGGAGTGTCTGAGGGTTTCAGCCCCATCCCCAGCATCCCTGCACCCCTCTCCCCACCTTGCTACAGCCTGCCTCTGAGGCAACAAAGTGTTCTCATCTCAGTGCTGCTGCTTTAAGACAAGTGATAGAAACTGCTTCCCAAGTTTAAGGTTTCCTAGGCTTGCTCCTATTATTGGTATTTTCTGACCTTGGCTTGTGTCTGCTGCAGCTCTTATTTACAGGAGAAAACCTGTGTGTGCCTGTGTGTGTTTCTTTTACAGGCAAGTTTTTCTGCAAGTCTCATTTCATTCACTGTAAAGCCAACAGTCAGCAGAGGAAGAGACGGGCAGAGTTGAAGCAGCAAAGAGAGGTATGTTTTGTCTTGAAAGCGCTGCTGAAACAGGGCAGGCCCCTGGACAGGAGCTCATTTGCGAGGGTTCTTCCAAGTTAGGCCAACGTTTCTGGCTTTGGAGGAACTGAGACCCACAGGTAAACACGAGAGTCTGTGCTGTGCAGTGTGGAGGGTCCCTCTTCCTTAGCCTGTTCAGCAGGCCTCTGGGCTTACCCCATTCTAGAGGCCAGCTCCCAGGTGAGCGGCGGTGCCAGCTTCTCCCGAGGAGCTTGGAAGAGCCTTCCCAGGTACTGGGCTGAGACTATATACCCAGCCATGTGAAGACTACAGGGTCCCCCTCCCCCCACCCCTGGCTTGGGTCCCTCGGGACCTCAGAGTGTTCTATGCAGGGATGCCTTCTGTGGAGACTACCTTTCCCTAAGTTTTCCCCCCAGGCTCTCGGATGTCCACGAAGTGACAGCCTGCTACATATTTGGACAGTTTGTGATAGCGCCCCCTTTGGCAGCTCTTAGCAAATACCTTCTCTACCGCCTGATTGGCCACCCACCTCCAGCAAGGACCCACAACTTACAGCCCTGTTCTGATTACACAAGTACTGTAGGCTCAGTTTAGAAAAATGGGGAAATAAATGAACGTATGCAGACAAGGAAAATTAAATCATTCATCACCACCCTGTCCTGAGAAACCCATAACTAACATTTTGTGACATTTCCTTCCAGACTTTTCCCTCTGTGAATGTATCTTAACCTAGCTGGAATCGTATCACTACGCTTTTATATCCTTCTTTTTATATATTCGCAGTATATCAAGAGCCATTCCCCAAACATTAAAAATTCTTCTGAAGCCTCATTTTGGATGCCTGTAAAAGATGGTTGATAATTTATTTAATGAGGTTTATCCTGTGTCATATTTTTACCTTATAATTATTTTTACAACAGGCATCTTTGTATGCATGTCTTTGTCCCTATTTCAAATTATTTACTTAGAATAGATCATGACAGATAGGATTTCTGAGTCAAAGGACATGTGTACATTGTTTTCTTTTAATGTTTATTTTTGAGAGAGAGACAGAGTACGAGTGGAGAGGGACAGAAAGAGAGGCAGACACAGAATCCAAAGCAGGCTCCAGGCTCCGATGCGGGACTTGAACTCACAAACTGTGAAATCATGACCTGAGCGGACGTCGGACGCTTAACTGACTGGAGCCACCCAGGCGCCCAACAGTTGTTTTTTGTTTTTTTGTTTTTTTTTCAAAGGACACGTGTGTTTTAAGGCACCCAGGTGGCTCAGTCAGTTAAGCGACTGACTCTTGATTTCAGCTCAGGTCAGGTCATGATTTCATGGTTCATGAGATCAAGCCCCAAGTCGGGCTCTGCGCTGACAGTGCAGAGCCTGCTTGGGATTCTCTCTCTCCCTCTCTTTCTGCCCCTCCCCTGCTTGCTCCCTCGCTCTCTCTCAAATAAATAAACTTTTTTTAAAAAGTAAAGAACATGTGTGTTTTGAAGGACTGTGAACCCCTTGGTCACCTCGGCCCCAAGAAAGTGATGCCCATATTTAGCCCCCCTTCAGCCATGCCTGGGGGCTGAGGTTATTGGCGGGGGAGAGGGGGCTGGTTGCAAAATGCAGGGTCTGCCATCGTCAGTTTGTGTTGGCTCTCTTCGTCTGCTTCATGGGAGGGGTCCTTGGTGAGAATCATGGCCTAAATGCCCTCCCTTTGCTCCCTCTCAGGAGGAGGGAACGTGGAGAGAGCAAGAGGCCCCTCGGCGGGACACTCCTGTGGAAAGTTCTTGCGCGGCCGCTGCCATTGGCACGCCTGAAGGCAGCCCTCCAGGTATCACCAATTCCTTCTTTAGGAAGGCGCTAAGCTGGCCTCTCAGGTTGCCATGGGGCCTGCTTCACATTCCCCAGAGCCTGCTTAACTGGATTCGGGGACTCCTGCGTGCAGCCGGCCTTCATTTCAGGGACAATGCTTACAACTACTGCTACACTTACGAGCTCCTGAGCGTCGGGCTCCCGCTCCTCTGGGTGTTCTCCGAGGTCCTGGCTTCCATGTACCGGGAGTCTGAGGAGTCCCTCGAGACCATCCGCAACTGGGTGCTCAGATGCTTCCCGGTGAAGCTCCACTGAAATGCCAGCCACCCCCGAAGTGCCCTAACATTTCCACCTTAGACGGCAGTGTGTTTGCAGTTAGCAAGGCCCTGGCCAGGAAGCCTAGCATTCTTTAATAACCAGTTCGCTCAAAGCCAAAGAGTTTCCCGCTGGCCACCTGCGCCTGTCTTTGTCAGGGCGAGCATCTGCTCCTGGTGCTGGGGCCAGCACGACATGAAGGATGTTTTTTATAGCTTTGTCCTCCTTTTATACCAAAGCGAGCCACATTTCTAGGTTTACATTTCAATTTTTAACTTTTAATAAGCCAAGAGAAAGCTTTTTTTTTTTTTTTTTTTTTTTTTTTTTTTTGCTATGAGTGTCAATTTTTCTAAACACGGTTTGAAGTTTTTAACTGATATTACAAACCCTTTCTACCTTGCAGTCAGCTGCCGTAGTCACTGCCTGCAACATTAACGATTTGGGCTTTTATAGAAGCAGAAGTGAGTATGCTGCCTCCTGACCAGTGCTTTTAGATGTACGTCCCCTAATGCCACTTGTCAACAGGGGACAGTGTTTTGCAACACCAAAGCATGATCAGTTTAGAAGCAAGGAGTAGATCAGAGTGGAATTGAGCCTACGGCCTGCAAAAGCACGTGGCAGTGTGTCGTTGGCTGTTATCTGTCCTCCCGGAGGGTCGGAAAGTGTTTTTGCTGCCTTATTTTGATGTACGATAGGAGCTGAAGGGTTTTTCCCCTCCTACCAAATCACAGCCAAATGCCTTAGAGCCATGGGGTTTCAAGCAGATTGCGACAAACCTCCATCATCCCTTCCCACTAACGAGCACTGCGCGGGAAGCCCCTTGGCCCCTGACCATGCGGAGCTCCATCAAGCTGATGCAATGTCGAAGAGGAGCTATGTCGGTTGGTGGCATTGATGCCTGGGGTCATGACCCCTGGGACTCCCTATCAGGTCCTCAGCCCAGGCTGCAGACTGAGCCAAGGCCACTCAGGGTCTATAATGGTCAGGCTGAGGAAGGAATCTGCCCTCTCCTATCACGTCCTTTGGGACTGAGGGCGTTTGTTAGCACCTCAGGGTATTATTTCTGGGACGCGAGATCTGCCCCATGAGCACTGCTTACAGACATCCTGGCTGCTTAGCCGCTCGGCTGCCGTGCATATTTGGTCAAAACAGCCCGAAACCATTTGTTTCCACACTGTCCTAGCAAAGGAATGTGTCTGACCTCCTGTGTCTTGACTAGCAGGGGAGGCTGGGGGTAGAAGCTCTTTGTTGACTGATACAAAGGAAATATGCCCTATTAAGGGCAAACACAGGCATGGGGCCTACCTGTGGTCTTCACTCTGGGCTTCCAGAGGAGGCCTCTGCTCCCCACCCCCACCCCCACCCCCACTCTGCCTGGACATGACCACTGCTGGGTCTAGTGGAACAATGGAGAGGCTGCTGGGAGAGGCCTACCAGCGTGCTCAGGATGTGTACATTTGCCAGGCCGGAGCTGGCTCTGTGCCTTGTTACACTAGAGGTCTCCTCTCGATGAAGTAAGGACGGAACCTGTCGTGAGTTAGAAGCCAGGGCTCGTGAGTGCTTTGCGATGATAGGTTTCTATACAGCAGGAGGAAGGGGAGAGGCATTTCTACAAACACTTCCCTGAAGTTCTTGGATAACACAGGGGCACGGCTGTGACCAAGTCCACAGGCACTGGCACCTCTGTCCTTGTTGGAACTGTTCTCAGTCTGATGACTCGTGTTGTGTTTTTCCAAATTTTTGCTGGGGTTTTACTATTCCGCGTGGTGGGAGGAACTTTTGCTTCATTCTTTGTTTGATTCCGAAAGGAAATTCTTGAGGTTGTGATGTGAACACATGCGCAGCCGTGTCATTGCTATTGTCTTCGGCTCAGGGTGGGCCGAGACGCTTTGCGGAATGCTCCACGAAGCCCGAGTGAGCATCTCTCAGAGTGTCCTTTACGGCCATGAAGAGACTGGTTTGAATTACTCTGGTGATACAGGGTGTGCCTCTCAGAAACCTGAGATGTTTGTACGTTCTGAGGCTTTGAACCTTCCTGGTGGGCAGCACCGAGACCCATGGTGGATCCCAGGAGGCACATGCCTCTCGGCCTCCCCAGCATATTCGAGAATGAGTATGAGACACTGGAGTAAAACTGGGGCCAAGAGATATGGGGGGGGAGGGGGTTCCCGAGGATGCGCGTAGCCCTGAGTGGAGAGCAGAGGGGCACGGATCCTCTCTTGCAGAGAAAGAGGCGGTCACTACCAGAAAGGTTCACCTGACCAAAGCAAGCAACGATTTGTTCGGGGACGTCCCCTTTTTATTAATGGTTGCCTCATCTTCAATTCCTGTGCCTTTCATGTTATCAGCCTTTTTCCTTTGTCCCCCAGACTAAATTCTCCTTTCTGTCTCTCTCTTTCCAACCTTACACTGTGGCCATCAGTTCGTTTCAGCCTTCCAGTGCTACACCCACTTCTTGGCTGACACACTTCTGCTCTGAGGTGACTGGTTTTCTTGCCGATTTTCAGAGAGTGGTACTAATGCCTAACCCGCCTCGCTTTCCGGCCCCGTCCTCCCACAGTGGTACTTACTGGTTGTGCTGTGAACGCCTCAAGATACTAATGGACTCTTCCAGCATGGTGGGTTAACAGCGTGGGGTGGTGCTCAGCTGGAAGCCATTCTTCATTCTTTTCACCTCTGGAGCCGCGGTTGCCCGGTCTACACCTGGGACATACCCCGCCTCCCTCCGGCTCCCTGTACGGCCTGCATGCATGCCTTTCCATTATGGCCACTTACCTCCTGGGACAGGGTGACCCCCCAACTGTGACACCACACACAGCAGAGAGGGCTCTTCACCTTTGAAAAAAGAACTTTATCTAGCAGCCTCTGAAAAAAGTACATGCATTACAAGTGTCCTAAATTGATTCTAGTATAAAGATTATTGATCAAACCATGGGTGACCCTTTCTGGAAGGATGTAAAAAAAAAAAAAAAAAAGAAAAAAGAAGGAGAGAAAAAAAAACGCTCCCAGGCTTCATCACAAGCCTGACCCATGCCTCTGTGTTTCGAGCACACAATCACAATTTTCCCTAGCAAATCCTTCCCTGCTGCAGCCTGCTTCAGACACAAGGGCTTTGCTGTGGCTCCTCTTATTGTCCTTGGCTCAGAAGCCCAATGCAGAAGCTTAAACACAGAGCAATCATTGTCACAGGCCAGGGGTGGCTTTGAGAAATGACTCCGTTCAGCCCAAGCCTGAAGCAGCCCGTGTCCACGCCCCAGGGCCTGCTCAAAACACATTTCACCCTCCCACCCCTGCCGCCTCATTGCCTGCAGCAGCAGGACATTCAAGTGCTTTTAAAGAGAAACACCGTGCCAAGTGCAGTGAGCTGTTGAAAGAAATAGGCCTCAGGGGCTCAGGCTGCAGGTGGTGTCTGTCCTGCATGCGGCCCCGAGCCACGCTGACCTCTCGGCCTGTCTGCACAGCCCCATGCTGCGCTTGCTCACCGCATCGATGCAGATTCCAGCCAGTACGAAGTCATTGCTCTTGTCTTGTCTTCTCTTGCAGAGTCTCCCTCCCTTTATAAAATGTCAACCAGAGGGGGCCCTTCTTCCTCTCGGCCTTCTTCTTCAGCTAGCCACCCCACCCCGCCCCCATCTCATCGCAGGCTGACATGTTTGTGACCTTTGGTAGTCATTTACAGTGCCACACGGAACCCTGTATTTGCACCACGGCAAACATTGTTTAGCTTTTATTTATGGTATTTGATGCTGTAAATGAAAATAAATATGGTTCTTTATAAAGCTCATTGTTTCTCTCTTTGCCGTGCTGCGGAAGCTGCTCCAACCTCAAACACGGGCTGGTTTAGGGGATCCGCCTTCCTTTAAACCGCTGGCGGGACCTGCATCTGTGGTGACACGGGACTTCTCTGGGGGGCTGCTGGGCACTCTCAAAGAAAGGCTCTACCCAGGGGTAATATTTGGAAATCTCACCAACGCCCTGGGCCAGGCTTTGAGTCTTTCAGCGCTTGAAAAGCTCATGGTACTTTTCTGTGCAGACGTTGGGCACAGCTGGGTGATTAATGGTCGTGTCACGCCAGCCATTGGAAATGATTGTCTTAACAGCTCGTCGCTTCTGTGTCCCCCCATCCAAACCATGGACCAGTAGGAGAGCTTTCCTTAGAAACTTTCTAAGTGAGGCTCTATGTGACAAAGGTCACTCTTGCAAGTCTTATGCTGGCCAGCCGAGTGAGAGGTGAGAGGTAAGGAGGAAGGAGACACTGGTTTCAGAACAGCAGCGAACATGGCAAGTATGCTTATCCAGATGGAGAGCCGCTTTTGTGATCCCAAGAGACCTCCCCTGTCCCCAGAGGCTCAGGTCCCTCAGTGTCTTAGGCTGCAAAGCTCTGCCTGCAGATTCATTCCGGTGGACAGAACCCATGGCAGGCTCTGACCCAATTCCAGGCTGGCCTCCCGTGCGGAAGGATTCAGAGTCTCACTTGGCTAGTCTGGACCACACCAAGGAAGTCTGGTCCTCAACCTCCCAAGGTTGGGATGCCAGCCCCGTCACCAGGCTGGATGTAGGTGGGCTTCTGACGCTGGTATGGTGAGCCTCCACCGAAGGCGGTATTTCTGGGCTCTGGGCCTGAGCTCAGCTGCTGGCTCCCAGAACTGCCTTCTGAGCTGCCCAGGGTCATGTACTCTTACCCAGGTGAGATATTCTTTCTCTTCCATGGAAGAAAGGGTGTCAGGGGACTCAGGTCAGGAGATAGGGTGGGCAAGTGACTCATTCCTTTATGTATTCATCCATTCAAGTATTTGTTGAACGGCATCATACCCTGGACATATTCTAGGTCCTAGGGAGGCTACAGTGAGCCACAAAGTCCCCTGCCCCTCCCTGTATCGTGGATTATATGTATCTCGGTCTGCAGTGCACTAGATTTGATTTGTTTTATTTGTACATACACTCACTTGTTTACTTAACTAACATTTACTGAGTATCTACGGTGTGCTGGAAATATCACAAGGGGTGAGGTAGACATAAGTCCTCATTCTCATGGAACTTTACAGTTTTGCCTTTTTTTTTTTTAACTTAAAGTGGGGTTTAAAGCAACATTTTCCAAAGTGTGTCAAGGGAACACTAGTTCCAAGAAGGGCTTTGTGAATCAGGAGCTCCACAGTCACACAGTTTGAGAAATGGTTTATAGCAGGTCATGTTGGTCCAAACCTTGAGATCCATGAGACTTACTAACATGGTAAAAGTGTCTGAGGGTCCTCCAGTAAAGAAGCTTAATTAACTTTGTTGGAAGTGGGCTTTCCATACCTATCTGAAATGAGTTTTTTGTTTGTCTGGGATGGGTTTTTTGTTTTTTGCATGATACATTTGCTACATACATGTCGGGTAGAATATTCTTAATCCAGAAACACTGGATTAAAGACTTAAAATTTAAAAAGGTAAAATAATAAATTAAATGTTAGAATCAAGAATTGATTAGATTGTGGAATGATCCTTTCTAAGCCTTATTTTGTTTTTTTTTTTAATTTTAATATTTATTTATGAGAGAGAGAGAGAGAGAGACAGACTGTGGAGGAACAGAGAGAAGACACAGAACCGGCAGGCTCAGGCTCTGAGCTGTCAGCACAGAGCCCGACATGGGGGGCTTGAACTCAACACTGCAGAGATCATGACCTGAGCCAAAGTCAGGCAGCCAACTGACTGAGCCACCCAGGTACCCCTTAAATTTTAGTTTTGTTTTTTTTCTTTAATTTTAATGGTGACTTTCTAAGCTTAGAACCTTGAGAAACACGACACAAATTTGACCGTAAACATTTTAAAAATTAACAGTAAAAAATGAAAATATTCAATAGGCAGTCAGACTGAGGAAAATGTGAATTAGGTGTATAATGAAGGAGTTCATTGCTGTGGCACTTAAAAGCTGATGCAAAGGAGGTGTTCCCAAGTACCTTGCACAGTGTAGGTGATCAGTTAATATTTGTTGATAAAGACCAATGATAAATGTGCAAAGGCCATGAATAGACAATTCTCACTCCAGGAAACTTAAAGGTAAATGCTAAAAAAGAAAGAGCAAGCATTTATAAAATTACATTCAAAGGAATGTAGACCTCATTCCCACTGAATTACTAAGAAAGTGGTGTGGATTGTAAGCAAAAAAAAAAAATAGTCTTGGGTAAAAGTAAACGAGGACCGTCTTTTCTAGAAAGCAATATGGCAACAATTATTAAGATCCATGAAAGAACTCTGACCTTTTAAGCAGTAATCCTACCCCAGGAATTTATCCTAAAGAAATGATCCAGCCAAAGAAACCAATCTCCCGTAACCTGAATATAAAGTAGAGCAAGTGGGTCAGGCAGAGTGGGTGGGCTGTTCTCCTTTATTTCTGTGAACTCATTCACTTTTTACAGCTTTTCTTTAATCCCTTAAAATAAGTAAAAGAAGTGACTGCTGCTTTTACTGCTCCAGAACCAGCTGTTATTGATTGCTGCTTTCCTCCTGCTGGGCTTGGGGCCAAGCAGCTCATGGGCAGTCCCTCATTAGCTCTTCACCTCCTTGTGGCCACCTTGAAGGTAACCTTGACATTAAGGAGCTCTCTGATGCTGGCAGGTGAGCTAGAGCAACATCTTCAACTGTGAAGGAACAGAGTCACCAGGCCCCAAGCCAGGAATTAGATGCTGCTCTCAGGGATCCTGCCCTTGGGAGGTCCTGGAGCTGGCCAAAGACCCAGCCTTGACTCCAGCTTTGTGGACTAGTGGTATCGGACAAGCCCCTCCTGTGAACCGATGCCCCTGGCTTAGGGTTTTGTGGCGGCAGAATCGGTGAACATGCCCAACAGGGCTCTCAGGGCAGCAAGAACTCTCTGGCTGAGTTCAGATAAGCACCTTCCTGAGATTTTACAGCAGGAAGGCCCGAGAGACTTTCTTGAGCATTCTGTATCAGCTGGAGCTCAGAGTGTGCCGGACGGGCATCTTTAGGTTGGGAATCAACAGAGGTCTCCCATTCACCCTGGGCACCCTCTATTTTTTCTCCAGTGTTCTGATCTCCCAGCCTTCTTGAAGGCAACTGGTCACCTCCCTCAGACAACCCAGCCTCTGCTCTGAGCCCCTTCTTTCCCTGCCACCTGCCAGCAAGACTGTGGTTTGGCTTAGTGAATTCCTGAGTCTCCGCAAAAAAGGGAGCTGGGCTCTGGCCTGGCTCTGGCTGCCCACTTGACATCTCTGCTTAGATTCTACCAAGAGTCTCCAACCTAAATATCCACCTCAGCTCATAATCTTCCCTGAACAGACTTTACCTTGGCCTTCAGTTCCTCTGGGCACAGCAATTCCATCTTTCCTGCTTAGCTCAAAGGCTTGGAATCATTATTCTTGATGGCTCTTTCTTGGCCTCACATCCAGCCAGAATCTGTCCCTTGTCGACATCCCCATGCTACCTCCCCAGCCTCAGCCACTGTTCTCTCTTCTGGAGTTACTGCA